AAAGGAAAATGCTCTACACACTCAGAGAGCTGCTCTAATGCTATCCAAAGTAGCACGAAATGCACTTGTTGGATGGGAATCTCACGGATCCAGAATCATCAAAGCATCATTCAAAACAAAGAAGGAGGGGATCACAACAAATTTTATCCAATGTTATGCACCCATCAATGATATCAATGACGACAATAAAGATCTATTCTATGAGTGGCTGCAATCAACCATAGCGAAGTGCCCAAGAAAGGACCTCAACATTCTGATGGAAGATCTAAACGCCAAAGTCGGAATAGACAACACCGGATATAAAGATATCATGGGACAACGAAAATGGGGAAAGATTTACAAATCTATATGCATTCAACAAATTGGTTATAGACAGCACAATATTTCCACACAACCGTATGCACAAAGCTAAATGGATCTCACCGGACCACACCACAGAGAACCAGATAGATCATATTTGCATCAATAAAAAATTCCGAAGGACAATCGAAGATATGAGAAGCAGGAGAGGAGCTGATATAGCTTCAGATCACCACCTAGTTGTGGCCAATTTAAAACTGAAGCTAAACAAGAACTGAACAACTGGACAAACAGCACTACAAAGGTTCAATATAGCCTACCTTCGAGATACTAACAAACTCAACGAATTCAAGATAGCTCTCAACAACAGGTTCCAAGCTTTACAGGACCTACTGAAAGAAGAAGAAACTACTATGGAGGACAACTGGAAAGGCATCAAGGAAGCATTGACTTCAACTTGTCAAGAGGTCCTGAGCCTAAAGAAGCATCATCATAAGGAATGGATCTCTAAAGAAACACTGAACAAGATCAAAGAAGAGAAGAACAAGAAAACAGCAATTAATAACAGCCGAACACGAGCAGAGAAAGCCAAATCACAAGCTGAGTACACAGAAGAAAACAAGCAAGTGAAGAGGAGCATTAGAACCGACAAGAAGGAGTACGTGGAAGAACTAGCAACGACGGCGGAAAAAGCTGCAAGAGAAGGAAATATGAAACAGCTTTACGATACAACGAAGAAACTAGCAGGGAAGTACAGTAAACCAGAGAGACCGGTCAAAGACAAAGAAGGCAAGCCAATCACCGAAATTCAACAACAGCGGAACAGATGGGTAGAATACTTCGAGGAACTCCTGAATAGGCCGGCTCCAATGAATCCACCGGACATCGAAGCAGCACACACAGACCTTCCCAAAGACATCAACCCACCAACGAAGGAAGAAATCAGGATGACCATCAGACAAATCAAGAGAGGGGAAGCAGAAAGACCCGACAATATACCAGTTGAAGCACTGAAGTCAGACATCGAAGTAACTACAAACATGCTTCACCTTCTATTCAAAAATATTTGGGAGGAGGAACAAGTGCCGATGGACTGGAAAGAGGGACACCTCGTCAAGATTCCAAAGAAAGGAGATCTGAGCAAATGTGAAAACTACAGAGGCATAACACTACTGTCAATACCAGGGAAAGTCTTCAACAGATTGTTGCTGAACCGGGTGAAGGATGCAGTAGACGCCCAACTTCGAGATCAACAAGCTGGATTCCGTAAGGATCGGTCGTGCACAGACCAAATTGCAACACTACGGATCATCCTCGAACAATCAGTTGAGTGGAACTCGTCACTGTACATCAACTTCATTGATTATGAAAAGGCATTTGGCAGTGTATATAGGAGGACGTAATGGAAAATTCTTCGACTCTATGGAGTTCCTGAGAAGACTGTCAACATTATCCGGAACTCATACGACGGACTACAGTGCAAGGTGGTGCATGGAGGACAGCTGACAGATGCATCTCAAATAAGGACAGGACTCAGACAAGGCTGTCTACTCTCTCCCTTCCTCTTTCTTCTGGTGGTCGACTGGATTATGAAGACCTCGACATCGGAAGGAAAACACGGAATGCAATGGACAGCTCAAAATCAATTAGACGATTTGGACTTCGCAGATGACCTAGCCCTCCTATCTCATACACACGAACAAATGCAGATAACGACAACCAGTGTAGCAGCACTCTCTGCATTAGTAGGCCTCAGCATACACAAAGGGAAAACCAAGGTCCTCAAATTCAAAGCAGAAAACAGCAATCCAATCACTCTTGATGGCGAAACTCTGGAAGATGTAGAATCCTTCACATACCTGGGAAGCATCATCGATGAACAAGGAGTCTCAGATGCAGACGCAAAGGCAAGGATCGGCAAATCAAGGGTCGCATTCCTACAACTGAAGAACATATGGAACTCATAACAACTTTCAACCAATATCAAAGTGAGAATCTTCAATACCAACGTCAAGGCAGTCAGTTCTACTGTATGGAGCTGAAAGTTGGAAAGCTACAACAACCACCATCAAGAAGGTACAAGTATTTATAAATAGCTGCCTTCGCAAGATACTCAAAATCCATTGGCCAGATACCATCAGCAACAGCCTACTATGGGAGAGAACAAATCAGCTTCCAGCTGAGCAAGAAATTAGGAAAAGACGATGGAAATGGATAGGACATACATTACGCAAATCATCAAACCGCATCACGAGGCAAGCCCTAACTTGGAATCCTGAAGGGAAGCAGAAAAGAAGAAGGCCTAAAAACACATTACGTCGGATAACAGAAGCAGATATGAAAAGGATGAATAACAACTGGAAGGAGCTGGAAAGGATTGTCCAAGACAAGGTTGGATGGAGAGTACTGGTGAGCGGCCTATGCTCTTTCACGAGAAGTAACAGGCGTAAGTAAGTAAGTAAATGCTTAATTTGCAAAATATCCATCAATGGTCTCCGACTTCATTGTTCTTGCATTTTCATACAAATTGCATTCTGTTCTCATTCTTTACTGTTCGATCCTCTTGTCTCTTTGCTGCCAGACCTTCTGTTCACGACTAACATCATATTCTAGTTATGTCAATATAAGTAGCACACACCACACCCCTCTTCTATTATATAGCTTATATATGATCCAAGTGTTAGTTACTGTTTTTTTCTAAGCTTACATAAATCATTATGATGTTGTTATTCTAGTAAATGAAGATTTCACGGTATATTCACTATATATATATGAACCAATTTAGTCTTAAATCCAGTAAATTTCTTCAAATAAATTACTCTAACCATTCAATCTAGTAATATAATCTAAAACATTAAAAACAACAACTGTCCAATACATTACAAAAGTTTCAATAATGAAATTTAATAATAATAATAATAAACTCTCTATGCGTTATTTATCACAACCGAAACTTGATGATTTATATTATCAAAACTCAATGGAAAGACTTTTTTGTTTTGTTTTAACTATTAAATGTCCATTAAGTAGGAGAATATAAATAATCTATGATAATTATTATTTATTGTTTTTCTTTTCATTAATAAAAACAGCAAAAGTTACGGAATCAATGGATAGTTTATTGAAGTAGCAGAAGAAGAAGAAAAAGAAAAAGAAAATAAATAATCATAATCATATCATACTACTGATATTGAATTTTAATTTATTTTCTCCTTAGAAATAAAGAAAATATTTTCATGATTCACTAAAATACAAAAAAAAATATTGACACAGTGAACAAAAACAAAATTATTAATAATAATAATGTGACGAACATAAATCTTCTTACCATTTTCAATATTTTCCTTTATTTGGATTTATTTTTGTTTAGTTTTATGTAGATTCATGTACATTTTTCAATTTAAATCAGATTAAATTGTTGATAGAAAGAAAAATATTAAATTTCTTATCTCGGTTTATGATGTTTGGATTGTTATAATAATTACTACATCCTCCTCCTCCACCACCACCACCACCAAAGTACGTGTTTTCCAAGTGGAAACAATATACCTATTTAACCGGATAACTATATGCTTTAGGCAAGGTATAAACGGTAATCCCTTTCAAATCTGTCCGCCGTTTCGTTTCAACGACCTTGAACGCGCTGACTGGAAGCGGGCATTCCGTATTTCAATTGCCGTGTGTGTGTTGGGTCCTATGAGTATTAAATGTTTCCATATATAAGTCATCTTTTGATGCATAATAAACACTAAATAACTGCTAAGAGCATTAACTGAGTATTTTCTGTTTTGTAGTGCACACTTTAGCTCTGTTGTTCCTTCGAAACTTGATCTGTGGTCCTAAGTGCTGTAGTGAAGGTCAACAGCTATATATAATTTGTTGATAAGGTCCAGAAAACAACGTAAGAAAGATAAAATAACGTAAAAGGTTATAGATGCGCATAGTTTTTGTGAGTTAAGACGAAATGTCAACTGAAGGGTAAGTCCTAAATATTTGTTGTTCTTCCTTCAGTTAATTTTTTTCAAGGAATAACCTTTTTTTAACAGCTATTGTATGTTGTCTCTAGTGCTTCATGCTCAAGTGAAATTTCAGTGAACGTAAGCGACGCGTTCCAACGTATTATGCTGAATAAGAGATTCGGAAGCTGGATTGAATTAGATAATGCGCTAAAGGATTTCCATAAAGTATGATGGGATAAATCTATGTTTTCTCAGATGACCCATACACACTATGTTCACGCAGAAAGTAGATTGTTGAAGGATGTGAGATATAAATACTTGTTCGTAGTGTTTCGTTGCACGTTTGGTCGTAAACGTAAATCAGAAGGTCTGAATGTGAATAAAAAACCGTGAGGACTCTAACTAATGTGTTACCTTTAAGGTCTAAATTTTTAAATTGCTAATCGATGTTTCGCGTAAGATTGGAGGGTCAACAATACGTTATAAAATCTTACAACATGACTCACAACCATCCGTGTACTAGTTCGTGGATGGTTTGTGATCCGTTGAGTAGACGATTGTCATCAGAAGAAAAAGAAAACTTGAAACCAGTTATATTGCACTGTCAGTCGACGGACGAAGTTATCGAAAGTATTAAGGAAAGAACAGGTAAGCAGGTGACCGCTGCTGATGTCAAAAATATGAAAGCTGAACTCTCCACTGGTAAGTGTATATAAATATATTTCAGGTTGGACTCGGAAGCAGGTATTGCAGATAATGCGACAAAACGGTCAAGTTAGAGAGCATGCAGAAAATGGATCTATTACGGCGGTATGCTTCAGCAGTTATGATCAGATACGGCTGTACAATCAATATCCCGAAGTCGTGTGTATTGATTCTACTTATAAAACTAATAATAAAAAGTGAATATGATTTTCGTTTTGTTCTACTATGTAGGTATTCATTATTCCAGTTAGTGGTAACAGACAATTGGGGTCGAGGTCGAACTGTTATGTCTGCATGGACAAAAAAAGAAAAGCGTGCTGATGTTACGTGGATTTTGGATAAATTCAAGGAGATAATGGGTAACACGACCAAAACAGAAACATTTGTGATGGATTGCGCACGATCTGAAAGCGCGGCTGTCCGTATAACACACGGGCATGCAAACATTATTTTGTGCGCCTTTCATGTGATTCGCGCTTTCCGGAAAAAGGTACACCAATGGTTGGTTACATAAAATTTCTTTTAGACAAATGATAAAATACTAAAAACCTACTTGACTCGACTGGTAACCGCAGAAACGGTCGGAAGGTAATTTTTTAATGTATTTATTCACTAGATTTAATCAATATTACAGAATAATAAACCGCAGAGACAGTGATAGGCCAGTACCTATCACGTTTCTGGATGCCACGTAAAACAATGTGGGCGCGTGCCTTTTACGGCAGTGTATTAACTTTGGGTAACAACACGAATAATCGTGTTGAGTCATTAAATAGGCAGATTAAAAGATATGTACGCAAAAGCGACAGCTTGCACAAATGCATGTACAAGGCTTTTAAGTGGAGTTCAATGACATTCTCTAGAAAAAGCATGGAAGACCAAATAATCAGTGGACGAACATACAATTATGATGCTCCACAGCGTCTTATACCCTTGCTGAACATGTTGACCCCATTCGCAAGATCCAAAGTGTTATACGAACTAAAAAAAAATGCGTTTCGTTAACTTAGAATATGAAAGCGGCGAGTGGTTGTTTATGCTTGACCGCGGACAACATTACGAAGTAGATGTAAGTATTTGTGAATGCAATTGTAGCACGTTTAATATGTGTCGATATCCGTGCCGCCATCTCCTGCTGGCATATATTAAAAGACGAAGTCTAACAGGTAAGCTATTTAAATTATAAAATATAAACTGCATAGCTCATCAACTTCTTAGGTGTTGCTGTAGATGGAAATTAGACAATACGCACAATTTACAAAACAACACAGTAATTTCATTACGGAGACGAAGTAAAGAATATATACAACTTCAACGGCTTCAAAGAATGTGCAAACAACGAATTGTTGAGAAATATGGTGAACGCTTCGCGAATCAGGTGGAGAGAAGGGTCTACAATTTTTACTTAAGAATTATAAACAGCTAGACAGCAGGTTTACGATTAACGGTTCTTTGTGGCTTTATTTTATACCACTATTTATACAACTTGTAAACTTATCTTTCCACTTTAGTAGTCATGAAAAATCAATAAACTTTTTCTCATTTTTTATTTTCGTCTTCTTCATACTTTCATGGGGAGGTTTACCAATCGCTTTAACGAATAATTGTGTGTGAAAATTAAGAATTTGTACTACTGTATTAGTTACGAACTGTCGTTAGAACTTAGCGTTATATCGTTGTTCATTGTCAGGAATCAATGAGTCAAATAAAACAATAATGCGACTTCCACGTAAAACCTTACAGATTAAACAACCGCCTTACATATTTTCCGTTGTCAGATTACGTCCATTATCAAGTTAGTATTAGTATGGAACTAGACAATTTCATGCAGCTAGTTCCTTGATAAGATGGATTACGTAATCCTTAGACCACCCTTCCACTCACACTTCTTTGCTAAATTATGTTAACTCTTCAGATTGTCTTCACTTATCTTATTAGTTCTTAATTCAATGATTTATTCATTACATCTAGAATTATCACACAATTTATCTTATATGCTTCTGAGCTTCACTCGACTATTACGCCACCCATCCTTTATGTTCCCTTAAGTCTAACACCAAATGACCTTTGACCTGTTCAAGCATATACATATGTATAGTTATTATTGATAACCTAGGTCATTCCAATTCTTTGCTTTCTATTATCTTTCATACTATTTCTTCCCTCAATCTTAAATTATAATGCATATTCAGTTGTATGCAACTTATGAGAAACCACGAAATGTAATGCAGTCACATGATTGTGCGTCAATATTTGTTTTGGCTTTATTTAGACCATAATTATACAAACCTACAGGATTTATAATATAAAACACTGGGTATGGTTGTTATATTTATATTTAAATAATTCATTAGATGAATGAGCATAGCAGTAGGCAATATAAAACAGTTATCGTAAACTTGTAAACCGGTTTTCCACACGATCTTCCGTAATCCTAAATTCCATAAGCTTCATACTATTCTGAAAAACAACAAATCCGTTTTGAGACAAACAATTAAACTTTGTTCTCAGTATCATATTCAATAAGTTATTCAAATAGCAAGTAACAGACTGTGCCTATAAGTCTTTTATTAACAAGTAGTGACATTCATTCATAACTTCCTAAGTAACACAACAACTGTATTACCGAGACGGAGTGAAGAGTATATAATAACTCATTTGTGAACCCTATAACAGACACGTCACAAATCAGTATTAACTAAAAAACATGGTTGTGTCACCATTCTCACAAGAAACACCGATCGTTTTATTCATGAAGATTTTGTTCCTACTTGATGTGGTGTTATACACTATTACTGCAGACATTCAGAAAGCCGCTGGACAACACTATAAACGTCAATTGTTACTCACATATTTTTTTATACGTTACATAATTATGTCACTTCAGTACAAAACAATGGTACCTCTAATGGATATAACTTTTTATGGCTAAATACAAACAAGTTATATAATATTCACAATTAGGTTAACGCTTGATTGCTTCTACTTACATTTTATAAACAACTACCGACATCCATGTTCACCGTCACCGCAATCAAGGAGGTGAACCATATGTAAAAGATTTTACGGTTCATTTTCATGAAAACTCAATCTGTGATGTACCCAATACTAGACAACAAACTCTCAAATGTTAAGCTTCATCGTTCAGCAAGACGTGATTAGTAATGAAATGGACAAGAATTAATATTGCTATATTAATAAACTGTATTTCGAATATGAAACTTTATATTCAAATGGTCGAGGATATTTTTAGCTCAGTGTATGAGGATGCTAAATGTCCTTTTTTTATCTCTTCAGTTCAGAAACTTGATAAGTTTTTTGTAAAAAAAACAAATGGCTATGAGGTTTAACGACTTTGTACAATAGTGAAAATATTTTCAGGAAGATTTTTAGTAGGAAGCCAAATTTTTTAACTAAAAATTATTTTCTTATAGTTAGATTTTAATTACTGATTAGATGTGAAAAATTTGGTGTCTCTTTATTTCTTACTAAAATACCTGGATTTAAAAACAACTGATTATCGACTGGATTAGTGTATGAAGATCGTTTGTACGTGAAACAGAACGTCCTGGGTTGGTTTTCAGCGAGTGAAATTGTAAATATGCACTTTTGAGGGATCCCAATACTAGAATAAAATAGCCATACTGTGCTTCCAGGTTTCCAGTGGTTGTCTAACTTAATTCGGTTCATGATTTCAATGAAATACAACAATATCCACAACCTTTCACAGAGAATTGAAATCCACTTATGAGATTCATTGGGGTTCAATTAATTAAGAGAAAACATTGAAGGACAAGGAGTTATTCTTTTCTAGTTCGAATCTTCCTGACAATAATCATTAACTGCATTAGACAAGACCGAAGCTAGTGTATTCAGGTCTTATTGCAAGCCAGTTTTAACCTAACTCTTAATAATAACTATATATTCAATGGTCACTAAATTTCAGATGAATTTCTCAAAGTTCTAGTGGGGAGCAATGACGGATGGGGTCATTGACATTTGAAATACAATAGTATCTTATTAATACTAACCAAGTATAAATCATATTGTACCATAAACTTATTGAAGTTAAAATCGTAGACAATCAGATTAATCAAAGGTAATCTGAAGTTATCGTATTAGGTAACAAATATGAACGTGTTTTGTTAGATCGCATTCACGGTTACAGTTCAACAGCATCAAGGAGTTCTAAGATGAATGGAAACAACTTTCCAGTTGATTCCAGTTCTGAATATTTTTAAAACAAAAATAACATTATTAGATGCTAACTTCTAACTGTGTACAAATTCTTAATGCATACATGCATACACGAACATACAGATGGATGTACAATATACCTCACTTATTTTCATATGAATCAAATTTTTAACCTAGTTACTTTCATATCAAATGTATAAGTATTGGTTTGTTCACAAAATACCATTTACATAATCTCACAATTTTGAGAACAAAAGAAATAATCAATATTTTTATGAATCTATATTTTAAGGACATTTTAATAAATCTGTCAAATTATCATTTTATTAAATGAAAATTTTTCCTTTCAAAGGTTGAAAAACGTTTACGTTTTTGTATTTGGTTGATTTCCTATTTAAAATATTGTTTATAAAATAAATCAAGGAGATGAGAACTGTTATTTTACTATGGCAAATGAATGATATTCAATTAGCAAAAAAACCAAACTAGGTCAGTAACACGTTCTGAATTATGTATGCATGCACTCACATACAAACAAAAAGGATCCGTAAATTATCAAGACTAGTAACTGTTTCTGATAATGCGTAAACTTGTTGAGTGTGTGTGTGTCTGTGAGTGTATCCCTGTGTGTTTGTCTATTAATCAGATTATCTTGTAAATAAATCCAATTTTTATAATTATTTTTCGATTTTATTTTTTTATCGGACCGTTCCGGTTATCTACTCTACACAAATGACATTTGATGAATTGTAGATGACATCTAGAGGTTGTTTGTAGGCAAGTAAATTTGGATTGAATAGAAATCAGCTTCTCATTTTCAGCATCAAAATTCACAAAACAAATATTTTAATTCGTTTATGCATATACGTATTCGATAGAGTATCGTAAAAAAATTGATAAGATTCTGATTTGTTAGTGACAACTAACGATGAATCAGTAAGTTAATGATAGACTTTGAATGATCACTAACGAAATATGGTGGAAATGATGATCTAGGAGTTCTGAATTAATGGTTAAATCCTACTACACATATTACTTGTCCCGAAGGTTTCAATTTCAATTTCCTGAACATTGATGAATGTTCATTCTATACATTGTCATGATTCCGAATAAACATAACTGTTACGTGTCCATAAGTTTTCAGTAATTCTGTATTATTTTTTTTATTGAGATCATAAACCGATTGATGTTAGACCACCATTGAAAACCTGGAAGCACTGGACGGCCGTTTCGTCCTATTGTGGGACTCCTCAGCAGTGCACATCCACGATCTTGCTCGCGGGATTCGAACCCAGGACATTCGGTCTCACGCGCGAACGCTTAACCAACTGGACCACTGACCCGACATCCAATGGTGATAGTGTCTAACATCAACCAATCCACGAAATTGCGCGACCATCTTCCGTTGTACTGAGGTAGATACCTGTCTCTACCCGACATGGATTAGCTCCGCTGGTCACGGCTTCTCACTAGAACTCCGAGAATTCCCTCACGAAGCTAGTCACTAGTGAGCACATGTTGGTTACTAGTATAGGGGTTGTGGAGATTATTAAGTTTTTGAATCTCCCCATTGATGTTTAGGACTACAATTAATCAGGACGAAACGTGCATCGTGAATTCCACTGCTAGCCATCATCGATCTTTGCTTATTCAGTAATCGCTTTATATGACAACAGCTTGTTACAATGTATCATTAGTTAGGACTATCGAATGATAGTACATTAAACGAAAATGTTTATTTTGAACATACTCTAGTTATCATTGTTCATTCAAGTGAAACTATTCTGTAGTAGAAAGCGTTTATGCATAAACAATTATTTAATGGTGAGCTAGTTTGTATAACTAAAAAACAATTTAGATTAAACTATCTAATCTATATTATTCCTATGCATTAATCCATTGATGTAAAGTGAATATACATTTCTCTAATCCTTACACGGTAATCCGTTTGTTTTTCTTTTGATGAGTTATAGTTTGTTATTGTCAAAACAGTCAATAAAACATTGAATAATCTACATTATTTAACAATAATTGATCTGATAATCTATTTAAGAAAAATCGGGTAAAACTAGGATTAATCCTTGTTAGATTAAAACAAATTTC